TTTTTTTTTTAAGCCATGCAAATTTGCAAAAAGATGCCTTTTTTGAGAGGGAAAAAAAAAAAAGAGGAGCATTTGCGTGTGTATGCGTGGCATCCATGCGCAAGGGCCATTTTGCCAATCACCCTTCTCTGTATCGTTCCAATTTTAAAATTTTAACGGATGTCCCCCGAAAGACAATGTTTCTTTTTGGACGGGTGCAAGCTGGGTGACCCAGATCGGCAAAACTTCGCATGGGGCAGAAATATGCTCAATCTAGATTCTAGACTTTCGAAAAACCACCCGTGCACCTTTCAAAAAAAAAAAAAAAAAAAAAAAAAAAAAAACACCAGTGCCCTTCCCCGCTTCAAAAAATAGGCCTCAAATTTTTGAAAGTTGCCCAGGTGAAGGCCAGGCTGCTTTTGATAAATTTCATCCCGGCCCCGTGTTGTTTTTCAGGCCTCTGGAAGTCGCTGTGAGGGGCCCGGGGCGGATGAGCTGGGAAGGTACTGGTGTTTAAACTTTGCGCAGAAATTTCCATCCACAACTGCCCTTGGCAAGTTGGCAGCATTTGAAATATTAGTCATTGTTATTTCTTGTAATATGAGGGACACTGGACCCCTTTCCAGACCAGGTGCAGCTCCCAACCAAATCAATAATACATGGAGCCTTCAACCCAGGACCCACTTCAGGGGCGTGGTCCCACTAGCAAAGAGGATCGGATAGAAATCCTGAATCTGGCCATGTTGTTTGCAGAGATACAGAAAAGCAGTTCGATCTCGATTTCCTGCTCCTGTCCTCAAACACGTCCAGATTCAGGCATTCAGTCCGATGCTCTCTTGCTAATGGGACCACGGCCCAGGAGGCTGCTCTAACCACCTCCCTATTAAGTGGTATTCATGAGTCGAAGTTTTCTTTTCGGAAAAAAATAAAATAAAATGAATTTGAAATGACACGAGCGTTTCTTCGAAAGGCCGCGAGTGGCCCTCTCAAAAAGGGAGATTGGCAAAAAAACAAAATTGGCGAAAACAAAAACAGGAGTATTAGAATGTCCACACTGAAAAAACGGTGGTGTGTGTCTCTATCTTTGAAGAGTCCGTCTCGCAGGCCCTCTCAGAAAGGGAGATTAGCAAAAAGCCAAAATTGGCAAAAACAAAAACAGGAACTTTTTTCTTTTTCTTTTTTTTCTTTTTTTTCTTTTTTTTTTACATGTCCACACTGAAAAAACGGTGGTGTGTGTCTTTATCTTTGAAGAGTCCATGTGGCGAGACGGACGTAACGGATCGGCCGCTTTGATATTGTAATTGGGTGCATTCAGAATGAGTTTTCGCTACTTTCAGTGTGCACCCAGGCTGGTGTTCTTTGTATTCTTGCATGCGTAGCGGAAGGTGCTGTCATGGGTGCATTTGCTTTTCCCTTCTCATGCTGTGGCAGTCTTGCCGGACTGTCTCTCTCCTCCTTCGCCCAGCTGTCGGCCGCGGAAAAAAATAGAGTAGAAACATTTCTAGTCGGATGAATTTGGGCGCTCCTGTAGTGGCTCATACGTTTCCTAAAACCCTGGCTTGTTAACGGGTGCGGCTTTAGGAAGTACGGGTGGTATAACACACACACACACACACACACACACACACACACACACACACACACGCGCTCACACGCACACACACACACACACACACACACA